TAAAGAAAATAAAGAACTCAGGTAGGGGGAAATGACAATAAATTGCTTGAGATTAAGTAACTAGTGGAACATACAATCTACTGTCAAATCTCTTACATAACTGTGAAAATGAATATCAAATAAAGCCCATTGTTATAAAGAAGGGCATATGCTCCAAGAAAGAAAATAATAATCTTTGTATAATATAAAGAAGAAAGGTTTAAAATATGAGAGAAACTGGGAGATGGGTGAGAAGATGAAGAAGGTGATGTTCTCATTTCATTTCATATACATCAATGTGATAAAACTGAAAGAAAAACATAGCTTCAAATTTGCACATAAAAATACACATAAGCATGAACAGAAAAAGAATGCATAACCTCCAAATCGGTGGAGGGGAAAAAAGAACAAAGGTAGAAAAACATAGGAAAATAAAAGAAATATTAGAAACAAAGGTGATGGAAGAGTATCAAACTCATCAGTCATCATGCCTGTCCCCCAGAGTACATTACCCTTACTTCTGCTCTCACACACATCACACTGTATGTAACATAAGCACTTGTCTCTCTCTTTCAGTGGCCAACATGCTCTTGGAAGTTCAGTCTTCCAGTTTTCTGACCCCAACCTTTACCCATCCCATAGCCCGAGTCCGCAGTCAATCAATCAAAGGAGGGCAGGAGAACAAGCTCTGTTGGAAGGTGGAGGGTGGGTTTAGTTGGAAGGAGGACTGAAGTCAGAGAAACTAACAACAGGGTGAAGTGAAAAAACATTAGGCTTGGAGTCAAGACAACTGAGTTGCAATCTTGGCTCTCCCACTAACAAGCTGTGGGTCACTGGCAAGTGACTTTGTTTTCTTTTCCTACAAAATACAGAAGTTACAATTAGTAATGTCTATGACATTTCCAATGCTAACATTTGGTGATTCTATAAATAGAATAAGACTGAAAAGTAAGTTAAAAATACCTTCCATATTAGCAGTCAGATTATGTGTACAGATTTTATAATTTATTTAAAAATAATATTACACAAAAAGGAACTAATCTTACTCTATTACTCTCCAAAACCTTTTGAGTAATCAAGAATTTACAACACTGGAGAACAGTGTTTTGGATAAAAATATACAAAAGCACATTTGGAAATATATTGTGAAATTCATAATGATAATGGAAAACAGATTTGAGAACTATTTAAAGGCATTGCACAATTCTGGTGGAGAGGTGCAATCAAACTCTTTGATTCCCAAGGGGGGAAAATTCCTCATCTAAAACCAGGCAAAAGTGAAGAGATGAAACAGACTGTGGTTTGAACAAGTTCCACAAGTGATGGTAAATGGCTAGGGTATGTTTTTTTTTCTTTTTAATATGAAATGTTTCCTTCCTGGAAATGAACCAAATATTATTTCTTAATTGCTGTTTTTGTTGTTGTTAAAATAAGCACTTTCTCTTTTCAGAAACATCTTGGCGGGTACCAGCTACTATTACTGGAAGTGTGATTCTTGAAGCTAACATTAGGTTTTTCTTCAGCTGATAACTCAGTTCTTCGGTGGAAGTAAATTAAAACAGCAATAAGTTTGGAACACGTAAAATACAAAGAAGTCTTCATTCTCTGTAATCTATCCTACCCACTAAATATCAATTCCTTAAATGACTATTTTAGTTAATATTAATTACATTATACAATAACTTATATTTAATTAAATTCTTTCATATTCATAATCTAAGATTCATTTTTTAAAAAATCTTGATAAATATTAACAGCCTCTGTTTCTTGCATGAAGGACCAGTGGCATCAGCTGCCTATAGGCAGTGCCCTACACAACTGCAAGGGTGCTCATTCATGTAGATTACAAAAGTATCCAGGAGTCGTGCAACTTAAAAGCCCTAGTTCCTAGTATACCTAAGTAGGGCACCAAGCAAGTTCCTGGGCCCCCAGAGAAAGGCTCTTTATTCTTACCATATTATGCTTCTCAACCTTGTGGATTTGTTCTGAATAAGGAATCTGTTCCTACTAATAGTTGTGCTAGGATTTTTGTGCTAGGAAATGTTGACACTATTGTAGATGTCTGCTATTTCCATCCCCTTTGCCCAACTCCACCCACCCTGCCTCCCCTTCTCTTGGCCTTCATCACATTATTGTATCTGTCTATGGGCTATGCGTATATGTTCTTTAGCTAATCCCTTCGCCTTCTT